GGCTCCCACCATGACCTCGAGATCTGAGCAGCTCATATTTCCAAAGACTGAAGTGCTCAGGAGAAACAAAACAATCTCTGCATTGGACCAGGTTAGGATTGGGCTGTGACAAGTAAATGCTCACCTCCCCAGGGTATTCATTTGGGATGGGGGGGCGGGGCGGGGACCCCCTCTCTACCGCCCCACCCCCCACATTTTGGACTCCATGGTAGGCAAGAGGGTGAGAACTGGCAGATGGAGGGAGTTTGATGGTGTAACCACTTTGGAGTCCTAAGAAAATCAGTGTTTTCCACGGGGCCCCATAACTTGACTTTATTTCCATCCCCAGTGAGTGCTGCGGGGGAGGTTAGCGCTTACTTGCCACAGCGCAACTCAGACCTGCCCCTGCTCAGAGACCGGTTAGCTTCCCCCCAGCGCCACTTCAATCTTGGAGGGTTCCAAGGTTCTCCAAGGTTATCTCAACGCTGCGTGGATCGTCCTAGGCTGCAGGGGGAACTAACCCAGCCCGGGCGCAGTGCCTGTGATGTCCCCAAGCAGAAGACGCGGCCACAGCCAAGGGCTTTACCTCGGGAAGGTGGCCGAGAGACGGCGCCCAGCGGCTGCCTCCTTTTGGATCTTGTAGTGAAAATCTGGAGCAAGACCTCCGCTGCAGCCTGGGGCGGAGGGTGGAAAAGATGGCCCCACGCTGTCTCCATAGAGACCTGACAACAGGGGAGCGACCTGCTCCGCCCCCTTCCCACCCGGAGGGAAGGTCACAGTTCCCCAGGGCCAGCGCCAGGGCCAGGGCTGCAGCGAGACCCGCATAACCGCTGGGCACGCCTGGCCTGAGTGCCCAGGAGCAGGGATGAGCCGGGAGGCCGGGCTCCGGGAGGAGACCTGGATGCCCAAGCCAGCCTTTGCTTGGTCCCAAAGAAAGCTAGCAATTTTAAGGCCACGTGTGGGAAAGGCGGGGTTTCTTATCTTCAGTAAATCCTCAGAATATTCTAATACTTATTATTGTCAATTTTAGAATGATACAGAAGGTACCAAAACCAAAACGCACCCTTCCTAATCGATTTCTAATTATTCTGGTCAAAATGTCTTTAGATAGTTATTGTGAAGCCTGCAAGTTTTTTTCTTTTCTATGGAGATGAATAGTTGTAACCATGGAAAGAGATCCATAATATGAGAAGCAGGTTAGAAAACCATATAAATAGTATGATCAAATATTTGTAAATGAACAAGTTTAAGATGTCTGGAAGTTGGTGTGCTCTGGTAGTATTTTTTAAAAGTCACTTTAATTAAAATTTATCTATAAGGAATATGCAACATCTATACATTTTATTCTAAGCCAGGCACCTCATTATTTTCCCGGTTGCCTTTAACATGTTAAAGTTGTGTAAACAGATACAAATTATTAGATAAGCTAAAATTTTGTTAGCTGGGACATGGGGTCCCTTGATGGAAGGACAAATGGGTAAACAAGGCCAATCTGCTGCTCTGTCACTGATCCACAGGAAACAGCTTCAGCTCTCCTGTCACAGCACCCATCCAGGAAAAACATGTCTCATGCCAGTTTCCTTTTATTCTGTCAGACCCTAGAGTGCCAGTTCTCCCCCCAAATCCCTATTCTCTCCACCCAACAGAAACATTTCCTGGATTGTAGTTGATGTTCTAGTGATTTCCTCATTTTTAAAAGGGATATTCAAGAGACTGATAAATTGATCAAAATTCTTTTAACTCAGAATCCCCAAAATTACTAAAACCATCACTTATAAAAATGGTCATTGAATGGGTTCCACTCTCCCCACCCCCAATTAGGTGCTTGTTTCTGTGGCCTGAAAATAAGGAGGCAGAATCATGGAGGTCTCTTGTCTATCTATGGTGAAGGCAACTGAGCTCTATGAATTGATAAACAAAATGTGACATATCTATATTATGGAATATGATTTGGCTGTGAAAGGATATGAAGTACTGATACATGCTACCACATGAACGAACTCTAAAAACATTACACTAAGAGAATCCAGTCACAAAAGACCATGTATTGTATGACTCCATTTGTAGAGGATGTCCTGAACAGGCAAATTCATAGAGACAGAAAGTAGATTACTGGTTACCAAGTGCTGGGGGGTTGGAGGCTGGGGGGTGACTGCTAATGGGCTTTTGGGGTGATGAATTATAGTGGTGGGTGCACAACCCTCTGAATGTACTAAAAACCACTGAATTATACACCCCAAAATGGTAAATGTTATGGTATATGTATATGGGTTATTTCAATCAAATTGTTTTAAAAAGGGTCATGAGGCTGTTGGCTGAACATTACTGGTGTCAGCTACTGTGCTCAGCATCTTAGTGCACACTTTTTTACTTCCTCCTAACAACCTCTGGGAGTTGGTTATTAACCTCTTTTTCTCGATAAAAACAAACATTAAACTCAGGTAAACTGAGTAAATGTTCATGAACACAAAGCTAAGGAGCAGAATGGGGATTCAAATCAAGGTCTGACTTTAAAGCCCATGCTCTTTTCATTACATCCACATTTAAATGGGCACAAGGTGCAAAACTCGCAAGGAAGTTACAGAACCTCAAATTTTATAAGAACAGTTTACTTTTGAGAATTGAACCTTATCTTCCCAGATTGAAGACTGCGGGTTTCTTCAAAACAGACAACAGAGACAAATTTAAAACAATCACTTTATTAAAAATAGCAAATTTCACAAATACTCATTTCACATTTTGTTACCACTGGCCATTGGCAAACACACCAGTGTGTGTATGATTGTCTGACGTAAACTGAAGCTGGGCTGCCACAAAAAGCCTGGGCATCACCAACTTACATCAACAGTGGAGTAAGCTTGGTGAGCTCAGGAAGGACAATCCCTCGGCCCTATCAACAACATTTAGCACAATGCATTTCAAGTATAACCCAGAAGGCAACAATAATAAGCAGAGCAGCACAACCTGTGTATCATGTTTCCTGACTAAGCCTTCCACAAGGCCTAGCCTCCAGTTATGGTGAATTACAGCAAGTCAAGTTTACCACAAGCAGTTATGAGAAAATCATTACAGTTGCACTTTAATTACTTGAATTCCTTATTGTGGGAGATGATTCTGCTGCTGGATTCAGCTGGAAAAGTAAATAATGCTGCTTTGCTTCAAACCACAAGAAAGCAACTGCATTTCATTTTAGCTGGTAGAAGTAGTTGGAACGTCTTGTGCATCTGTCAAATGCAGTTTTTGTCTGAATTCATGAGTTAAGATTTTCATTCTACAATAAGTAATTATTTTAAATTTCTGAAAATTACACTCAGGAGCTAAGAGACAGGGGCATTTTTTAAAAAAAGAAATATGTCTAAAGGGAAAGTGCCTATGTGCTTTTGAGAAGCTTAGAAGTGGTAAGACAATTTTTAAATGTAGTGAAGTAATTATAACTATACCTAGAATTTGAAGACTTTCAAGAAAAAATCAGACTCAAGACTAAAATTCAGCAATTAATAACAGTATATGTTACAGTAATAAGAGTAATTTACATAGATATATAAATATATATATTTATACATTTTATGTATATATAATGTGGTTTGGAAAATTTCACATACACATTATTATGTGTAGCAATCACCACATATTACAGAGGACACTGAGATGTTAAACAATTTGACCAAGGTTACATTACCAAAATGTGGAACCAAATTTCAAAAATTAAATCACTTGACTCTATAATAACCTTTCTAATATCTCATTTTTGGTTCAAAGGAGATGTCTTACCTCTCAAATGAAATTATTTTGTAGGTAGAATCATTTCTTACTGTTCTTATGTACCTCACATTGTGCCTATCACATTGTAAAAAAAAATTTTTTTTAAGTTCCTGAAATAGTTGCTCTGAATTAAAATGTCAAAACCTGAATATTTTACATGTACCTTGGTGCTTTCCTTTAAGCAATCTTATAATACACGTTGTACACTTAATTATGAAAATGTCACTTCACAAGCTATGGAAGTATCCCTTAAATGTCTGATTCTCAATGTTATGCATTTACAATATTATATGTAATAATATTAGATTAAGCATAGTATATCGGGATATCCAACTGCCATTTAGCCTCAGAATATAAAATTCAAAATAATTTATATGACAACTAGCCTAATCCTCAATTCTCTTGATGAAAAAGTATTTTTAATTTTTTTTAAAAATACAAAACAATACAAAGTAAAGCAGAACAAACCAAAAACAAACAAAACAACTAGAAAACTCCACTTGGAAAACAAAGGGGAAGAGAGATGGCCCTAGTAAATAATAGGTATCTTTGTTTAATACATCTAAAAATCACATCTTTCTAAAACACGATTGGGATTTCACCAGAAATTACATAATTGGGATTTCACCAGAAATTATAATTTGTAGACTTTTCACTGTTGACATTAGACAAAGGATACATGGAAGAATTCAATTCTTCTAACTGTAACATAAAGAAACACATTTAATTTTAATTCTTATAATATAAACATAATAAATATCATAACTACGCATTTTTAAATAAATTCTTTTTCATGTAAGCTTTCTTTAAATGAAAAAGCAAAATACTAAAATTTCCAGACTGGGAAATTCACTTATAAAGTAGCTTTAGCATTTGTTAAATAAGGATATGTGGAGGGAATTAAATCAGATGATACAATTAGAGTTTCCTAACTATGCTTAAAATCATGCATAATTATAGTCTTCTCTAATAATAGTTTTTAAAAGACAAAAGTTGTCATTTTAATAATCAAAATCTTTAAAACCTTTATGGACTACAATAAGACTGCACATGACATTCAGTTTTTAGTATGAGGTAGAATTAATCATCCCTACAAGGAAAAATCCGAGTTACAGAAATGTTAAATTGCTCAGAGTTACAAATGCAGACCCTGGACTAAACAAAGGCTTTCTGGTTTCAAATCAGTGTTGTTTTCAGCATACCACAGTCACTCTCCTAAATGTATTATACATTAAGCTTATATTTGTAAAAGGAAATAGTTGCAACACTGAAAATAGTAGACTTGAAATAAAAAGTATAAGCATGAAATTTTTAAAGTATAGGCATATAATTTCCCTCACTTTTACTTATTCAAAAGATAGAGAAAAGCAACAAAATGTCATTGGTGACTAGGAAACTATTCTGAAACTAAAGTACATTGAATTCAATTTTTATCTATTTTTGTTCAAAAAAAGATTTAAAGAGGCAAATTTAGTTCACACTTCTCAGTGTAAGAATCATAGTTGGTGTTATGGGGCTGACTTACGTCCTCCCAAAATTCATTTTTGAGTCCTATACCCAACAACCTTAGAATGTGACAGTATTTGGAGAGAGGGTCTTTCAAGAGGTAATTAAGTGAAAATGAGGTCATTAGGTTGGGCCCTAATCCAAAATGACAAGCAGAGGAAATGTGGACACAGGTGCCCATGCGGAGAAGGAGAACTTGAAGGTGGCCATCTACAAGCCAAGGAAAGAGGCCTCAGAAGAAACCACCCTGCCAAAACCTTATCTTCAATTCCTAGCCTCCGGAACTATGAGAAAATATATTTCTGTGGTTTAAGCCACCCAGTACTTTGTTATGGCAACTCTAGCAAGTTAGTACACATGGAAATGTGTTAAACTACCATAATTACCAAACGTAGTTCTATATTTAAAAATAAGTAACTACCCTGAATAAATAAGGCAATGTATATTAATCATGTTGGGATTTTTTGACATACTACCCTTCTACATCTTAAGATATTATCATATATGTACAGAAGGTAATATTTTGCTTGAAGGTTAGCCAGCATTCTCAGAATATATGCATAGTTTCTTTGGATTATGTTTCTTTAAAAAAAGATGCCCTAACCGGTTTGGCTCAGTGGATAGAGCGTCGGCCTGCGGACACAAGGGTCCCAGGTTCAATTCCGGTCAAGGGCATGTACCTTGGTTGCGGGCACATACCCAGTAGGGGGTGTGCAGGAGGCAGCTGATCGATGTTTCTCTCTCATCGATGTTTCTAACTCTCTATCCCTCTCCCTTCCTCTCTGTAAAAAATCAATAAAATATATTTTTTAAAAAAAAAAAGAGTAAAGTATAGCATGGATGAAACCTGAAAACATTACACTAAGTGAAAGAATCCCAACAAAAAGCCACATGTTGTATGATTCTACTTATATGAAATTAAAGGCCCGATGCACGAAATTCGTGCACGGGTGGAGTCCCTAGACCGGGCCAGTGATCAGGGCCTATTGGGGCCATCTCGCCCAGTCCCGACAGAAGCTGGGCCGGCCGGGGCATGCCAGCTGCTGGCTGGGACCTGGGGGCCTGCTGGCCACCGGCCTGGGGCCTGCCGGACGGGGGGAGGGGCGAGGAGAGGGACTGCGGGTGGTTTGCCAGCGGGGGGGGGGGGGGGGGGGGGGGGGGGGAATCCCCAGGCAGGTTGGCTGGCCTTGGGAGGTTGGCTGTGGGAGCGCACTGACCACTAGGGGGCAGCTCCTGCATTGAGCATCTGCCCCCTGGTGGTCAGTAAGCATCACAGCAACTGGTCGGCCAGTCATTCTGGTCATTTGGTCGTAAAGGTCGCTTAGGCTTTTATATATATACTAGAGGCCCGATGCACAAAATTCGTGCAAGAGTAGGCCTTCCTTCCCCTGGCTGCCGGTACCGGCTTCCCTCTGGCACCCAGGACCTGGGCTTCCCTCGCAGCCCGACTTCGTCCGGATGGTCATCCGGAAGGATGTCCAGTCTAATTAGCATGTTACGCTTTTATTATTATAGATAGATGTCCAGAATAGGCAAACTCATAGAGACAGAAAGTAGATTCATGGTTGCTAGGGGGTGGGGAAGGGGAGAACAGAGAGTTATAGGGTTTCTTTTTGGAGTGATGAAGATGTTCTGAAACTGGTGGTGATGTCTGCACAACATTGTGAATATACTAAAAACCACTGCATGTTATACTTTAAAATAGTTAAATTAGTACATTTTATCTCAATAAAAATATTTATTAAGAATAAAGAGTTTCCAGCTGGCGTGGCTCAGAGGTTAAGTGTTGACCTATGAACCCGGAGGTCGCGGTTTGATTCCCGGTCAGGGCACATGCCTGGGTTGTGGGCTTGATCCCCAGTGTAGGGCGTGCAGGAGGCAGCTGATCAATGATTCTCTCTCTTCATTGATGTTTCTATCTCTCTTTTCCTCTCCCTTCCTCTCTGAAATCAATAAAAATCTTTAAAAAGAAAAGAATAAAGAGAAAGAACTATACTCACGTCAGAAAGAAGCCTATCGAGATTAGAGTCACTAGCCGTCTTCCTCTTATCCTCAGGAAGTTCCTCTAACTCCCCATACAGCTCCAAATTCAAGCGAGCTAATTTCTCCTGCATTCCCCGAACATGTTCCATCTGTTCAATGGAACATTCATTTCCTGGGGGAACATTCCAAAACATTAATAAAGATTAAGATGGAGGAAATACTCTTAAACTCTAGGTGCTGCAAAAGAAATTGATTATCATTTTCTTTTATAAATTGCTTTGTTAATGATTGAATATTTTCTGGACATAGTAAGTCAAATTTCTGACTGGAAAAACAATGACAACCTAAGAAATGACCATGGGCACTAAACAAATCAGATAGGAAAGATAAAAAAACAACAAAACAAACTATCCCTCAGGTATAATTATCTCCAATTTGACAACTCTCATTTGAATCAAGTGATCCAACATTTTATAATAATCTGGATGAAATTAAGAGTCATATAAATACTTCAACTACAAATCCTTTGTCAACCAATTAGGTATTCCTCCTTTAAGAAAAATATATGAAAATATTCATGAAGCATGTAGAACGTTATGAAGCACACAATGCAATATTTTCAATTGTATACACAGTAGTACAACTTAATTGATAAATGAAATCTAAGAGGACTGCATTTTATGCCTCTGGACTCTTTTTTTAAACAAACAAAAAAAATGACACCGTAAACAGGAATAACAAAATACATACAGAAAATAGGATGTAAACATGTTGAAAAGTGGTAAATACAAACATCTATTGCTTACCAAAGGCCTGAAGTTTCCCAGAGTGGAAATCATTCAAAAGGCTGAGAAGCCCCTTCTCCATCTCCTGAACGTCTGAGACGTCAGTGAGAAAGGAATGCTGAATCGGGGTTGACTGAGCTCCTTTTCCCTCCCCTCCCTGAGGTTTTGTCTTTTCCTTCACCGCTCTGCAAATAAGATACAGTTAAAAGTTGGTTGCGTGTACCTGTCTTTAAAAAGAGATGGTTATTTTCAGACTGTTCTCGGTTAAGCAAAATTTCTGAATTAAATTTTCCCTTAAAAACAAGAAATCAGAACAAATTCAGTATTAAATAAAACCAAGCTAGAAATTAAAAGGACAAGTTGTGAAAAATCTCAAACAAATGTATAAAACATAACTACTAAGGCATATAAAAAGTTTGGTTAATACAGTTATATATTGTGCTCATTCTTTGGACTACAAAAAACTGAAAAGAAAATTAGTATTTTTATTATCCTACGTTTCATATATTTTTAATAGATTTGTTTCTTAGAGAGGGAGGGAGAGACAGAAACATCAACATGAGAGAGACACATAGATCGGTTCCCCCATGCACCCCGACCATGGATCAAACCCACAACTTTTTGGTGCGCAGGACGCTCCAATCAACTGAGCCACACCAGCCAAGACCATGTTTCATATTTTATTTCTCAGTAAAACATACACCTTTCCCTTTTAAACTTTACCCTATTTGTTTCTTGAACTATCAGTTGTTGAACAAGTGGTTATGGAGTCCCTACTCCGTAGCTGACACTATGCCAGATACTGGATATATAAAGATGCACACGACATCAATCATTGCACGGAAGAGGGCCCAGTCTAAGGAGAAAGGAAGTCAGATAAATTACAAATCACCATATGATGGAGTGCTAAAAGCCTGTTATTAACCTTGACTCCTCAACTTCCTAAGGCCCCCACATGCAGTCATGCAGTCCTATTGATTATAATCATAGGTATCTCTCTAATCTCTCTCTCCACTGCCACTACCCTATCTCTTGATTGAACCCTCTAACACTTCCCAACTGGTCTTCCTGTCTCTATGTGTTGTCTCTGAGCCCCTTATGAAGCCTCCCCATAGACCAGCCAAGTCAATTTTTTAAAGAGTAAAATTGGATCATATAAATTTACTTAATTCAAACCCTTCAGTAGCTTTGCACTGCCTGCTGGATAAAGCCCAATATCCTTAAGAAGCCCTATCCTCTCCTGTCTATGTATGTTCTAGACATTCAGAACGTCCAGTTTGCTTCCTATAATTCTATTCTCTTATCTAACTACATGCTAACCCTCTGTCTGCGGTAGCATCCTTCTCCTCACTGCCATCTTTATCTCAGTTCAAATGCAACTTCCTCAGGAAGGCCGTTTTAGAACTCCTAGACTAGATTAGTTCTTACTACATGTATCTAGCGTATACCAGGCTCTCCAACACTTGAGTGATGGTGCTATACACACCGTGATACGGGAACAGAGACAGCGCAGTTCACTCAACCAAGGGACAGCCAGGGAAAACTTCCTAAAGGTGACATGTGAGTGAAGCCGTAAAGAATAAGTAGGAGTTCACCAGGCAAAAAAGGAAGAAGGGGTTGTATATTATCTGTGAACCCCAATACATACTATAATCCTGACATGCACACATAGTCAGTACTCAATTAGTTTCTTTGTAATGTTGCATGAAGACATCTTTTCCACAACTGCACTCACCACAATAAGGATAAGATGAAGATGGTGGGTGAGGCAGAGGGGGTAGCAAGAAAGAAACTAATACTCTTTACAAGAAATCAACTTAGAACAAATAAGCTGCAGACAGTAGGTTAGTAACAGCTTGTCACAAAGCAAGATCTGTGTCCTATGTACATATTAGGTTTAATATCATTATTTAGGACCTTGGCATCAACTTCACCTGTGAGCTTATTAGAAATGCTTATCTGGGGCCCTACCCCAGACTAATTGATTTGGAATCTGCATTGTAAAAAGATTCCCAAGAGATCTATCTTCACACTAAAATCTGAGATAGCCTAAGCTGGTTTGGCTCAGTGGATGGAGCGCCGGACTGCGGACTGAAGGGTCCCAGGTTCGATTCCAGTCAGGGGCGCATGCCTGGGTTGCGGGTTTGATCCCCAATGGGGGGCGGCGTGCAGGAGGCAGCCAATCAATGATTCTCTCTCATCATTGATGATTCTATCACTCTCTTCCTCTCCCTTCCTCTCTAAATTCAATAAAAATATATATTTTTTTAAATCTGAGATAAACTACTTTTGACTATAAGGTTTTAGTATATCAAATGCTTATCTTTTCTTTCACATTGAAAATTTATTTAAAAAAAAGTAAAATCAGATCATATAAATTTCCTTAATTCAAACCCTTCAGTAGCTTTGTTTTATTTCCACTTCAATGTTTTTGATCTGTTACACTGTCTCATTTTATATTAAAATAATTCAATAAAAAAATCACTCGTTGAAATCATACTAGGTGCAAAGCCACATTGTAAGTACTGTCTGACACATAAGGATTATCAAGATTTCCCCGTCCTCAGGAAGCCTACACTCCCGAGGAAGGTAGGAAATAAAAGTACAGGGTAGAAACTGACCATGAGATATAAATAAACTGCTGTAAGAATTTAGAAGAGGAGTAATTGCCTTTAAAGTCTCCTAGTTTTCTTTTTCCACCAACCATAAACCATAGTCAAAATTTGACTCTAAGTCAAACTCCTCCAGAAGGAAAACCCCTTTCCAATGTGATAATTTATGAAACCCTCATAACTCTTGTTGTTTATCATTTAATTCCTATTGGAATGTTCCTTTTGTTTCCTCAGAGTGAGAGACCATCATCAAGGCAAGAATCTTTTCTTTTGTGGAAACCCAGTGGCCACAGAGTACTACACGCATTACTTCCTCAACTGACTCTCCACCAGGTGCTTGCAATTGGAAGTAAGTTTCTTTAATCCTAACTAGAAAAACAGTTGAGATTATGAAATGCTTTTTTCTCTCAAAAAATGTTATCTTGCTTTCCAAATATTTAATACTACAAAATATTCACACATTTACAACAGTAATACGTAACACATTTAAACACCATTCCTGTTTCCTTTAGAGCCTGAAGACGAAGGATGTTCACCAAATAGTAATGATTACTTCTAGGTGATGAAATTTTAGTGCTTTAAATTTCTGTTTTGAATTCTTCCTATGTTTGAATTTTTACAATCCATACAAATCATTTCTACAAAAACAATGAAACCACACTTTTTAAAACATAAAAACTACCAAAGCACAAACACTCATCTTAGTTAAAAAACAAACAAACAAAAAATCCCATATGTCCTTTATCTCATTTCTGGCTAGCTCACCAACTTTTTCTACAAGTTTTCTTGCTCTGTTTATTTTAATCTGAGAAAAGAAAGGACCTTCAAACCCATCATTCATTTTGCACTGTCTAATCTCTATACATGCACTTTAAACTTCATAATTTTTTCCTAAAACACATATAATATGTGCCTCAACGGTTTAAAAGTCAAGAGAAAAAATATTATAAGAATTAAAGGATTTAGTATTTACTTCCATAGCATTTTGCTATGATAATATGAAAGAAAAAATATTCACCTTTTTAACTTTGGTCGCTGTGAAGTTGACTGTGATGCAGGATTTGAAAACCCTGTGCTTTTACTAACCGGAATGGCATTTTTTTTGGCATTAACAACCTGAGTAGAGTGGGCACTAAAAGACTTAGGACTTCTCCTCTTCACTTTCCGCTCCTCCATTGCAATAAGTTCCTTATTGCACCAAGGCCAGCTTCTTATGACCTAAGGAAATAGGGCAAAATTATACACATGTATGCTGTAATATGCCAAAATGAAAAAGGTTCGATACCCACTTCATAGACTAAAGACGATCAAGAAATTCAGAGATTGTTAAAGAAAGTTAGAACCAGGGTGCCTTAAATTTAATCTACCGTATTTTTACACAGAAGCCCTAAGCACCACTTTATTCACTCATCCCATAAATATTAACTCTCTTCCAGTTTCCTGGCACTATTCTGAGCATTGGGGAAATGGCAAAGTCCCTGCCCTCCAAAAACCTACATTACTGAAGGGGAACAATACATAAAAAAATAAACAAAACAGCCACTTGATATTCCCAGCCTGACTCAAGCTTCAAGTGGCCTTTAGGTCTCCATTCAAAAATATATTCTTAGCCCTAGCTGGTTTGGCTCAGTGGATACAGCATCAGCCTGCAGATTGAAGGGTCTCAAGTTCGATTCTGGTCAAGGGCACATGCTTGGGTTTCGGGCTCGATCCCCAGTACAGGCCAACCAGAAGGCAGCCGATCAATGATTCTCTCTCATCATTGATGTTTCTACCTCTCTCTCCCTCTCCCTTCCTCTCTGAAATCAATAAAAATATATTTAATATGTATATATAAATATTCTTAGAAGAACCAACTAGATTCAAACAGATGTATACTTGACAGGGGTATCTGCATTTTAACTAGTAACTAGAAACCTTATTTCAACCACCAAGCAAAAACTCAATGTCTGCTTAGGGATAATACTGATTCTAGTTCCTTGACCAAGTGAAGTTATGTAAAATTAAATTTATTCCGTAACTATTTTTAATATACTTTCTCTACCAATTGCCACAGAAACATGGAACTTTACTATATATGTTTAGTTTTGCTAATATCAAAAAGGTTACACTATGAAGTTATAGCTGGCCCTTCCATAGAGTATAACTGTAAGGTCTTGTGTTTATTCAATACTTTCCCCTTACTTTATATATTAACCAGCTTTATTTTCCTAAGTCATCCATCTATAAATATCCCCTACATTTCCTTTTTCTTTATGCATAATATTACGTTATTCTTAATTATATTGCTTCATGTGTCATAAGAAATGTATATGGTTATTTACCTCACCAGATCCTAAAGTGCCTTAGGAACATTAGGCCTTTTTTTGTATGTTGAGTTGGATTTAATCATGTTATGATGTTCAGAAAGATTCAGATCCACTGATGTCACTTAAATAATTAATTCAGCATTATAATAAAAACAGATGTTTTGCCACTGTCTGAAATTGGTGCGCCTAGCACTGGAATTTAAACCGCTGAGCTCAGTTGGCTCAGGCTGACTCTGGACAGTCATAACTGTAGCTATAACACCTCCAAAGGAGAGGTTTTAAAGGAAAGGCTCCAATGCCGGGTCTCTAATCCCAGATACTCAGTGAAAATCCCCTGAAATCGTGCCTAACAATTTTCCTTTGAAGGAAGCATTTTTAGTAACAGAACAGCCATTTTGGCGTTGTTTCAGCATGCAGCACAAATGAAATGAAATGGAACTCTAAAAAAACAAACAAACAAACAGACTGAATAGTGCTCGGCTGGTGTGCTCAGGGGTTGAGCACTGACCCATGAGCAGGAGCTCACATTTCCATCAGGACACACGCCCGGGCTGCAGGCTCGATCCCCAGTAGGGGGCGCAGGAGGCAGCCCGTGAATGATTCTCTCTCATCACTGATGTTTCTCTCTCCCCCTCTCCCTTCCTCTCTCTGATATCAATACACACACACACACACACACACACACACACACACACACCTGAATAGAGACAATGGGATATAAGTTCTCCAAAGTGGCAAGATCTGTATAAAATTATGATACATATAAACTCATTGGCCTTTGAATTTAATGCTAGTACACATTTGGTGATACTCGAAAAAGAAAAAAAACTTAGGAATCAAAGCAATGCAAATAGACCAATAGAAGTCTAAACCAAGATGTTCTGAGGGGCTCGAAAAGTACCCGTTAAGGAAGGTAAGACCTCTGTCGCAAGAGCACTGAAATCCTTCCTGTGTACCAAGAAGCGAGGAACCATTCAGAAAAGGCCTTTATAAACAGCTCGTGGTTTACTCACTGGTTTGGGATCAGGAACCCACAGCCTCCAAGCGGGACCAGTAGGCGTCCCTCCCGACTTCGCCCCATTAGCCTCCCCATCAGCCCACCCTTCACAGCCCGGAATCCAGCAGTGGCCTGAGTGGGTGGTGGGAGGGGCCTAAAGGGGGCCATTGCGGAGGTGCCTTTGCTTACACTTCATACCTGAGGAAAGCGGGGATCTGTCCTCGTCCTCAACCTGCAAACACCCCGAAGCCTCGGAAGCCACCGCCGCAGCTGCAGCACCTTCGGCAGGGGTCACATCCCAGACCCCGCGCCGCCACTGCGCCCTTTGTTTATGGAAGTGACGTCAGGGGGTGGAGCCTCCGTGCCGCAGCCGGAGCCTCGCCTCTTCCGGCGGCACCGGTCCGGCGCGGGTCTCCGCTCTTTGGAATCGTGTTCCTTCACTTGGCCTGCCTTCAGCCATGCCTTCTGCGGGCGTGGGAAGGAGAACCCATAGCTGGGTGTTCATTGAGGGTTTTGTGGCCCAAAAGCAAAGAAAGGTAGGGTGGCGGTGGAGGCACCCTTTCCGGAAGTTGCCCCGCCCCTCGGCGAGTGTCCTCTTTTACGAACTACATTTCCCAGCATGCTATTTGGTAAGCCCGGGGCGGAGCCAGAGTGTCACCATAGCAACCATTCCTGGCTTGTTTCCGATACATTGCCTGAATTTGGCAAGGTAAACCAACTTGAATTTGGAAGGCAGCGTGAAAAACCGTGATGCTGAGCCCCATTAGAACCTAAATGCGACTCTATTACCTACTCTGTTCAGGCACCAGGCAGACGTTTTCTCTAAACTTCGCTAACTCTTCAGAAAAGAGGGATCTAACACTCAGAAGGATTGATAAATCCACTACACATCGTGCCTCTGGAGAACGAATTGCGGATTGAGAGGGATGGCACTAGTCTAACTGAAGGGAGGCATCATGCCTCATTCACAGCCTTCCCGCGCGGGGATGGGGGTGGGGAGGTTTTAGACTCATAGACCGTTTGATTGAAGAGACGCAGGAGGGCACCACACACTTCCCCCGCATCTGCTGGTGAGGAAATGGGAAGCCGAGTCTAGAAAGGATATCAGTGCCAGGGAGGCAGAGCACAGACGGCCCCGATTGCCCATATTTACAAATTCTGAAATGTTTTACAAAGAAAAACAGAGTAAACATTCATGTGCCCTCTCTCCATAATGAATGGATGTTATGTTTTGTTGTTTTAAGTTTTTTAATGAAATAAGTGGAACATGACCGATAAAGCAGGAGCCACTTATTCCCGGAGCCATTCTACTTCCCTTTCGAAAGGCAACCACGATCTTAAATTTGATATGCATCTTCCTAATCGAGGTTTTGTATACTTTCACTATTACTATGTATTTATAAACAATAGTGAGAATGACTTGGGACTTTTGAAGTTTTATAGGAATGCTGTTATATTTTGTATATTGATCTAAAACTTAACCTTTTCACCCGATTCTGTGTCTTGGCCATCTATCCACATTGATACATATGGCTAGAGTTCAAATTTTTAACTAGATAGTATTCAATTAAATAACTTTGCCACAAATTACTTGCGAATTTCCATAGTGATCAATATTTAGGTTGTTTCCCATTTTTCACCATTACAAACAGTGCAGTAGGGTACAATCTTCCCAGTATCTTTCCTCAAAACTAATCTTGTCTCTTAACTAATTTCTGAATTGTCTTATCTGTATGAGCAGAGCTTGCAAACTGGTGATCTACATGCTATTTTATTTTTTTTCACATTGGTTGCTAACAATTAAAATTGGAAGACTAAAAAAATGATATCATCCCATCCGTTTGGCATCCCAATAATCATGGGAAGTTCTGACCACACTAGATCTGCGCTGCAGCCCAGAAACAACAGTTCAAGCTGACGAGCAGCTGCCTCCTTTGGGTCAGTTCAAGTGATCTCTAGTTTCTCTCTGTCCCTCCACCTTTAGTGCCCATCTGAGTCCTGTGGTATTTGAATCTGCATAAAATAGGGACACAAGGAGGTGACCTTCAAAATTTACATATTTCGGGTATTTAAAGTTCTGTATTGAGTCCCTCTTTTGGCCAAACACTCTCTCTCATAGGATGTCAGGGGGCATCCGTGAACAAGATGGCTAAGAACCTTAAAGTTAGAAATCTTACATTCCTGATAAGGAAATGAACAATTAATTAGTAAACAAAACAGTTTCATTTAGTGTTAAGTGCCTATGTGAAATAATAGCTTAAGGTCGTAGGGAGTTGTTTTAAGGGGTCGAGTACTGAAGAGGGAGTGTCAGGGAAGGCCTTACTGAGAAGGCAACTTTGGGGATTGAGATATCAATGAAAGACAGGAGCCAGCCATAGAATGGTCTGGGGGAAGAGCATTCTTGGGCAAAACGTATGGCTAAACAGTAGGTCTTTTTTTTAATTTAAATTCTTTATTGTTTAAAGTATTACGTAAGTCTCCTTTTTCCCCCATTGACTTCTCCCCAGCCGCTCCCATCCTACTCCCCCCCCACCAGCACATGCCCTCACCCCCCTACTGTCTGTGTCCATTGGTTATGCTAATGATGCATGCATACAAGTCCTTTGGTTGATATCTTACCCTCCCGCCCCCCACCAGCCTCCGCCTTCCCTCATAGGTTGGATGGTCTGTTTGATGCTTCTATGACTCTGACTCTATTTTTGTTCATCAGTTTATGTTCTTCATTAAACCATAGGTCTTTAGGCACAAATGAGCTTGGCATGTTTGAGGAAGCAAGGGCTTGGTGTTGCTGGGTTGTACTGATCATTAGGGTCACAGTGACATGAGTCACAGAGGCACAATTTTGAGTGTGATTTCTTGACTTGACATCTAGAGTTCTTCCTGAAAGAAATTTTATTCTTTGAGATTTACTAGATTTTCCTTTAACTGCAAAATCCCTCCTTTGGATTGATTGTTAAATGCACAGCTCTAATCAGATACTGTCTTCCCAAGGATGATATTTAGAGGATCAACAAGACCCCGCCCCAACACTAATACACTCTATAGCATAGGTAGGCAAGGAGGAGTGTTGGTGTGAATTGGTAGTGATGGTGATGCAAACATAACAGATCCACAGGCTTTATTTATTTATTTTTTCAACTTGTCGAAACAAGGCCTCCAAAAATTAGGTTGCCTCCCAAAAAGTAGGAGAGAAAGAGTATATCAGAGTCCTCTGATTTTATTTCTGATAGTGAAGTGATTCATGTAATCCCTCTATTTACCCCAAAGTCCAAAGATCCTCTGATTTTATTTCTGATAGTGAAGTGATTCATGCAATCCCTCTTTATATCCCAAAGTCCAACGATATAGGCCCAGTCACATTGCCAGTCAGATGGCATCACTAATGCCCAGGCAAATGCAGTTTTATGTTTTGGTACATCAGCCTTCATACCAAACATACCAAAGGGATCTAATGGAGAATTAATCCAAAAGTTTAGGAAAATTGTTGACTGAGTGATTCTTTTAAAGAAATTTTTATTAGAAACAGACTCATAGACACAGAGAATGGACTGTTGATTAACAGAGAGGTGGGTTCTTGGAGGCTGGGTGGAAAAGATGAAGGGATTAAGCCAGTGGTTCTCTACCTTCCTAATGCCGCGACCCTTTAATACAGTTCCTCATGTTGTGGTGACCCCCAACCATAAAATTATTTTTGTTGCTACTTCATAACTGTAATTTTGCTACTGTTATGAATCGTAATGTAAATATCTGATATGCAGGATATATTTTCATTGTTGCAAATTGAACATAATTAAAGCATAGTGATTAATCACAAAAACAATATATAATTATATATGTGTTTTCCGATGATCTTAGGCGACCCCTGTGAAAGGGTTGTTCGACCCCCAAAGGGGTCGCGACCCACAGGTTGAGAACCGCTGGATTAAACCGTACAAATTGGTAGTTACAAAACAGGCACAGGGATGTAAGTTATAACATAAGGAACATAGTAGGTAATATTGTAATAACTCTATGGTGTCAGGTGGATACTTGAAATATCGGGGGATCACTTTGTAAAGTTTATGATTATCTAACCACTATGCTGTACACTTGAAACTAAAAAAAATAATAATAATAATATTGAATGCCAACTGTAATTGAGTTATTCTTGTTAAACTTAATATTTGGGATAGTTTCAATTTATGACTACAAAATTAACATTTTAGTCCAATTTCACATTACACTTCCTTTTTAAGGCCAAGAGTAGTTAACAGGATTAGAGAAGATAATCAGCAAAACATGAGGATGATTCATCTTACTAATATCCTTTCTCCAAGCTCTTGTCATATCCATCTTTTGAAAGAAGCCTTGTGTTATAAGTTTAACCAGAAAAGAAAGTGTACCATGGACTGGCAAATTAGCTATACAGTATTGCATCACAACCCTTCCATCAGTTTTCTCTCCTTTTCTTGAATTTTAGTTCAAGTTCAGCAGTATTACCATGGACTGTTACAGACTGCTAAGAAATACCCATAGGAATAGCTCATAATATGGCAGAGAAAATAGAAGGAAGGAAGGGATGGAGGAGTTAGAAGGACTCCCATGAGGCTTTGTTTATATCTCTATTTAAAGAGGAAATTTTAAAACGTCATTAAAAACTTAAACTGTTATCACTCTGTCTTTTAAGGGGTTGCCATAATTCCTGTCAGTGAAGACATAAATCTTTATATAGGGGCAGGAAAAGGGATGAGACTCGGCCCCCGGTAGATGGCCCATTGTGTGCCATAATGCAACAGTGAGAGTTGTATGTGCACACATAGGCAGGAGTCTGAGTTTGGGAACGTGAGATTGAGAATCTGGAGTTGTTTTACAGTGAGTGGCCAGATTATTATGACCACCCCATCAGTACTTCATTGGGCCACCTTTTGCCTTCAATACTGCGGCAATTCTTCTTGGCATTGACTCCACGAGATCTTGAAAGTGATGCGAGGAATCTGACACCATGCCTGATGAATAGCACTGTCCAGTTCTGTGAGTTTTGATGGTTGTGGAACCAGCTGCCTGATGGCTCTTTTAACTTCGTCCCACAAATGCTCAATTGGATTGAGATCTGGTGATTGTGGGGCCACCTAAGCGAGGTAAAGTCTCCCTCATGTTCTTGAAACCACTCCTGCACAATACGAGCACCGTGGCATGGCGCATTGTCTTGTTGGAAGAAGCCATCTCCATCGGGATATGCCATCAACATGATAGGATGAACTTGATCAGCAATGATACTTAGGTATGTTGTGCTATTCAGACGTTGTTCCACACGAATTAAAGGGCCCAAATCATGCCAGGAAGACATGCCCCAAACCATAACACTGCCCCCACCAGCTTGAAG